GTTTTTATCGCCAGAATTCATTCATAGATCTCAAATTTTATGTACAGAGTGGCAAAAGCCAGGCCTCTGGCTCCCCTTTAATTACATAAATTAATTACATAAAAACAACATAGTTGAACTCTGGTGACCTTGCCCTTTGTCATATAATATTATTCCCATTATCATAGTTTGTTTCAATATGAATTCACAATTAATTTTGAGTACAAACAAGTTTTGGGATTGAAACAGCAGTGGGAAAGCAGTCTACCAAATGTCCTTGATTGCTGTAAATATCTTACAAAAACATTGGTGCCTAATTTGTTTAATTTCCAGTTTTATTCAAAGTAATTCATATTTTAGTATAAAAACAAATGCCTCATCTCATAAAAAAAGTGCTGCATTTAGACGTGAATAGATTCATAAAACATGCAAGATAACAGAAAATCTTAGCCGGCTTTTGTCCAAGTATTTTGTACAGGTGTCTGTCAAAAATTAATGATTCACTGAGACAAATATGAACTGCCTCATTATATTCATTGTGTGACTACTGTATTATTTAAAAAGTAAAAAAAAAAACACCCTTTATGAATAACTATCATGTTGTAAGCTCTGCTTTGTATGCAAATCAACTTAAATAGTTAGTTGGTGTTCAGTGGAGGGAGAAGTCAACAGTACTGTTGCCTCCTGAGAAACTACATATTCAAACGGTGCAATTTTTGAAGTGCATTTTTAAGTTAGTATTATAAAAGCTCTATCATTCTGTTCTAATAGCTGAAACAAATTCCTATGAATTTTCATTTTCACTTGTCAAATGAACTGTTTGTGAAATACAGAACACATATTTTTGAGTACAACAATGCTACGATGAATTGCAAATGGTCAAAATACATGAAAACGAAGATCATAATTTCAAAAAGTTTCAAATAGCCAGTCAAAAGAATTTGTTAAAATAAAATTTAATTTCTGTCGCACGTATCAATGAATAAAATTGTCTGCATCAGTCCTGTATACACTATACATTTTTTGTGAACAAAAACTTTTCACTGAGCGGGGAGGGGGAAGGGGGGTGCAACGGGCTAGACCGGCATGTGTGAGAGAAACAGCAGCTATTAAAAATACAATTTTCTTTTCAAAATGTGGATGCAATGTTTTGCTTTTTATGTATTTTTCATGTATTGTTTTTGATTTGACAACTTTGGACTAAACAGATTTTCTATTGGCTTCAGATATTGATCAAAGTTTGGCACCCAATTCATAGGAGTGCTTATATTGATTATCTGACATCTTGTTTTCTGTTAAGATTTTATTGGTAGGTTTGCAAATGTGTATCAGACTGTGCAACAACTCTCTCCATGAGAGTTGGTTTTGAAATCCAGTCTAGTATTGTTGTTTTATTTTTCATATTATACAAGGTTAAAAAGTTACAATAGGAAGTAAGTAAGTAAATAAATAAATAAATAAATAAATAAATAAATAAATAAATAAATAAATAAATAAATAAATAAATAAATAAATAAATAAATAAATAAATAAATAAATAAATAAATAAATAAATAAATAAATAAATAAATAAATAAATAAATAAATAAATAAATAAATAAATAAATAAATAAATAAATAAATAAATAAATAAATAAATAAATAAATAAATAAATAAATAAATAAATAAATAAATAAA